TTTTTTTTTTTTTTGTACCAGGGATTGAACTCAGAACCTTGTGCTTACGAGGCAGACATGATGCCACTGACCCAAATCCCCAGTCCAGGCCACAGTTTTAACAGTGCCACAGGGCACCACACCTGCCCCAGGACCTTGTCACGCACTGCCTGTCATGCCCGTACCTCAGCTGCCCCATCCTCTGTGTCCTCCAGGCACAAACACGTCACCACCTTGGGACCCCTTCAGCCTAGGTCAACTGTGCTCTTCCTGAAGGACTGAGCAGCTGCACTCCGCACAACGCTTGCACAACTGCTTACCCTCTTAGAGCCCCCCGCCAGGTCCAGGCTCTCAGCGAGGTGTCCCTGTCTAGTGACCCCGAGACTCAGGGGCCCCTGAATATATGGGGGGACACTGGGCCGTTCAGATTGGCCTCTGGGAGTGGCATTCCCAGGGACACCTCGCAGATCCTCTGTCCCCCGCAGCCCCTTGGCAGGGCTTCCGCAAGTCTGGGGGGCACAGGCTGGTGAAGGGGGCGTTAACCCACTGCGGAGGGGCTGTGTGTGGAGACGGCCCTGTCACTACCGATTTCCCCTGCTCCTCACGGACCCGCAAGGCATCGCAGGGCCGTTTGGAAAGGTGACTTGAAAGTGGAGACGGCCCAGCCCTCGGAGGCGACAGAACCAGAGCCGCCCAGTGACCCCCCGAAAACTCAGAGAGGGGTCTACAGACAGACACCCAGCTCCATCCTGGACTCCACGGGATCCCGCTGCATGTTACTTTTATTACTAGTGTTAAATAAATACATTTTCCATGGAAACAGCCCCGGACAGGTAACCCCAATAAATTAACAATAAATACGGATTTATAAATAGTTATCAGAGGGGGAGGAGGAGTGAAGGGAGGAGCCAACGGAGCGTGTCCCGTCCTCTGTGGGCGGGACCGGAAGAGGCCACGCCCACGGCGCGGGAGGGGCGAGCGGACGCTCTTGAATAGTGGTCCGCCTGCTCATGCGCAGTGGCAGCTCTTGGCGACGAGGTCGTCGTAGGTGTGCAGCGTGATGCCGCCCTCTGTCTTGTGCATGAGGACGACCAGGTCGTAGCTGGAGGGCACGCAGCACGGCGCGGGCACCAAGTCCGGCCTCAGGCCGTGCAGCCGCGCTTTCACCTGCGCGTGCGTGTTGGCAGAGCGGTACAGGCTGGGGCACTCGCCCACGCACATGCCCACGTGCAGCTCGCTTGGTGACAGC